AAATAAAAAGATCACGCGTGCCTCAAAATTCCGCACGCCCATACACTCTCTATTCTAGCCACTCATCCAACCAATGTAAACCTTAGACGTAGTCGCGCCTAGCGCGGTATACTTAGACTTTAAACCAAAACTAATTTCTGTCACTTGCAAAAACCAGGGCGGATACCTTTGTAAGGGTATTCGCGCCGACAGCTTACCGGACCACATTAAGCGACGTCCCCGTCGCTTCGCAAAATCGAAAAGCTATCAGATTACCTAAGATGCTGACGAAAGAAGGACCAATCCGATTAGCCGACAAACACATGGTAGAGGCCTCCATCAAACCATGCCTCCACAACTATATGTTGTCAGGTTTCTAACCCGGACACTCGCCGCCCCGACATTAGGACGATGACAGCATAAGTTCCAAAGACCTTCCCAATCATCCTCTCCCCGGTCCTAGGCAACCTTCGGCTTCTCGTTGGGTGTCCCTAGTCCTGGCCAAAACTAGGGACGCGGACCCCAAGACCTTTGAAGGCACTCTCGCCTTCTTTCTTAGAGAATCTCTTGCAATCAAGTACACATACGTATATTTGTATACTTAATATTCATTCAACTCTTTCTGCAGTCTAGTACAGAGAGGCTAGGTCTCCATCTTGGCCCACCATAGCCTGGCTGATCGGACCAGGACTACGGCCCACCGCATTGTTATTTTAGCGGCAGTACCTTCGTTGGTTACGCAACGATAGGTTTTCTCCTAATAAGCATTCAATCAGGATGTCCCCAAAATTCTCAACCTTTACTACCCCACGGAGTAATTTCCCTGGGGCTGGCAACTCCCCTTAAACTCTTACTCCGCGGTCCCGTAGCCAGGTTGCGTCAGCTAGCAGCCATCCACTGAGGTTACGCCCTAGAGGTACTAATCTTTACCGCTTAGCTTGGTATTCCCCTACTATGTCCCAGAACTAGCACAAGTGGTTTGGCGGAGCGTCGCAAAACCAATCACGGGCCCACTGCGAGATTATGCAAGGGTCTGAAGGCATTTACCAGCTCTTCCACGAAAGGCATGACATCCTTCGCACAATCACAAATAAAATCCGTTAGGTCCACAAGGTCGTGACCCCTGGCTTGATCAGAGCCAGCAGCCACCCATCCTGAGATGTCTCTCGCCCTGCACTTTTTTGTGACTTTCTCAAACATCTCAAACAAACGTGGCCCCTTTCGTCAGACTTTATCACTCAAACCCTGCTTACCATGCCCTTAAATCCATTAACAACCTTTCACACAAAGGAGGTCTCTCTCAATAGGTCTCCCAGCCATCCCTCTCTTCTTAGGATGAGCTATCACACGACCTTTTTTAAAACACCCCCCTTTTCGGGGATGAGTCTCCCGACAGATAACATTACCGCCTTCCTTAATCTGAATGGGTCTCAATCATAGAACAACTCTACCATAGAACAACTCAAACTGAAAGGCCTACTTATGGGTCCTCTCCACAACTCAACCACGAACCAATTCAACAGAGGGGCCTACTTATGGGTCATTTTTGCGACCTAACCATAAAACACCCGGCATGGTAAGTATTCGAGTCTCAGAGACTCGCAAAATCCCCTAGGATTCTCACACTTTTGTCACACAACAAACTGCACTGCCTCTCCTTATACTCGGCCCTATCACCCGCCCGTGGGCAGATCGCACAAGTATACCGGAGAGTAGACAGTTCACATCCATTTATTCTCACAAAATCCACACAAAATCACCATTCATCAGGATAAAGTCCACACATGTGAGAGTGATTGTGATCGTCATATACAAAAGACAGTCTCGGATAAGGCCTCAAATTAATATATATACAGGGGTACAATACCCCAGCTCAAATGCGAGCCCAATGTCTCGAATTACATATATACACACGGAGTCGAACAATCTCAACTCGAATCATCACTGGTATCACACAAGAGCAAATGCGGTCTCCCTGGCCGAAGCTATAGCTAAACCGGTTTGATCATGATGTAGCCATACTTCTCAAGTCAAAGGGACTCAAGTAATTCAAGACATATCCAGATACCCCAGGACAGGTAAGACTAGAAGTCAATCATGCACAAGTCCTACAACTATCTTCCTAGGCTAGAGAGCCTATCTCCCATATGTTGAGGTTTCTTCCCGAGCCTCTCTCCTACCTCTCACACCTATACGGCTATCTAAGCCTAGGCAGGAAGTAGATCTCATATCTTCTTCTCTCGATCAGTAGGCCTTAATGGAACAAATCCCTACTTCGTAACAATGCCCTCAGGGTCACTCCTCGCCCCATCCTACCAAGTGATCCACGTCCCTAACACACGAATACCTCAGAATATACCCAACATACACAAGGACCCAAACCACACAAATCTATCCTAACTGTACACGCCAACATATCACACATCTGGACACAATCACCTAAATCACACCAAAAGAAAAAACAAAGATTCGTCCAGCACTACAATCTGCATATGTACAGATGGACACGCTAGTCGTGACTACCCCTAGATATGTACATATCTAGCTCCGTTCCTATATACAAAAAACCTTGGTCCTACTGACGTACAGGCGAACCAGTCCCCACTCACTCATTGCCCTCTCTGGTTTCACCTATACGGCTGGGCTATCTACAGCCTAAGTTACTTTACCGGACCATTATTATGAAACCTCTCCCCGGATCTAACCTATGCACATACACACATCCAAGTATATGTCTGCCCCGACCCAGATAATATGCAACTAGCCTTTACCAATTAGTATGGGGTTAGGGTCACGCAATGGTTAGCATGGTACTCCAGTTTCCAGATCAATACACGTACAGCTAGCCCCTACCAACACGAATCCAAAAATCCAGGGCAGGCGACTGACAGAAACTTCCCAACCCAGGAGTTAGGGTGAATCCCTATTACGTCCTACTATACTTTCTCTGCCCTAGTCGTCTCATCTACCCTCTCCGCGCCCTTAATCACTTGGCTCACTCTAATGACCATCTCATTCGGCACCATCATATGCCCCTTTCTTCTTTGAACCCCACTTATGGTTTCGCTGGCCCCTGCCGCGACCTTCGGCGCCTTGCCTGTCATTCTCACGGCCTCTATTGCCCCGTCCACCATCTCCATGGCCCGTAGTGCCACGCCCGTCATCTCCTCGGCTCGTAGTGCCACGCCCGCCATCTCCTCGGCCCGTAGTGCCACGCCCGCCATCTCCTCGGCCCCTTCCAATTGCCTGTCTTTGGCCCCTTCCACCTGTCATACTGTCCTGCGAAGCTTGCTGTATTGGTGGCCACAACGATCCGGCGGGTTGGATTTGGACTGGCGGAGGCCCACGGGGCATCATGTTCATCCAAGGGCCCATGTAATTGCTTTGCACCCAGGGCATATAAGGATTGTGTGCCGACCACAAGTTCATTCGGTTACCCGGCACCCACTGCCCATGTAATGCTTGCTCGATCAAAGGAGGCCCCCTTGGTCTTGCCTCGCCTTCCCCCTCTTGCGAGGTAGCCGCTACTTGTTGCGAACTCTGTCCCTTTTTGGTACCTTGATCGTCCTGAGCGAGATTCCTCGCCCTCCGCTGCACCTTTGTCAACTTGAGAGGTCCATGCTCCTCCTTTATCTCATCCTCTCTCTTGCCTTTGTCCCTCGCCTGAACACTGGCTTGCCTCCTTGGGGTTCCTATCGAGAAGGGCGATTCCTGGTCACCCTTTTCTACTCCTCCTTCACCCTGGCCAGCCGGCTCACTTGTGGAGTCTTCCGAAACCTTCCGCTTACCCTTCCTCGCCTCTTCTAGCCGTGCTAACCTCTCCTCCAATACCCCTACTTGTCTTTGTAACCCACTTAACTTCGCCAGCGATGGTGCGCCCGCAACCGGTGGCACAGAGCATTCCCCACGTGGGCCTTCTATTCCATCTTCTGGGAATCTTAGCCTTAAGGAACGCACCAATTCATCCCACGTTTTCGACTCCTGCTTTAGGGTATATACCTCCTCACTTAGTCTTTCGCAGACGAACAAGGGAAACATACACCACATCGCCTTCTTGTCCCACTCCTTCGCAAGGCTAAAGTCCTGAAAGTCCCACAGAAAGCCAGACAAGTTTCCTCCTTGGAACAACAGAGCACGGAGGTCTAGAGGCATCGACTCTTGCAGTGCCTCGCACAACAACACCTTCATCTGGCACGCGTTCCTCCAACGCAGGATCTTGGCGAAGCCGCTTTCTTCTGCCATGGTGCTGACAGTAGCCTGATACGCACAGCAGGCAATAGACCATCAAACAGTGATTTAAGTAAGCTCAGGCAGACAAGGGCAGACTGCTAACACTTAAATCCCGCTATCTACTCCTTTACTCATGCAATCAGGCCTCAACCCCTGGTTACCCTGACGCTTACTTTCATAACTCCGATAATGGGCACGGAGAGACGACTCCGGCCAGGTCAAAAGAAACGCATTTAGTAGAAAAAGACGGCATCCCCTATCGGCCCACTTCAGCTCGAATCTCCTCCCAGTCTACATTTCCCTCATTTGGATCATGAGACGAGGCGTATACGTCCAGTGTATTGGCCGTGTTCCTGAGCCACTGACTAGAAGGTAAGAATTTCGGGTCTAAGTACAGGCGATATATCAATTCACATGTATAACGTCCGTACTCCCAGTCTCGCGCCCTCAGAGCAGCTTCAGTCGCCGCCTCTACCCTCGCCTGCCCACCAAAACTCTTCTCTATCAGAAATTCAGGCAGGATTACTCGCAGTGGAGCAGATGGAAGCCCGAACTCTCCAGCGCGCTCGATCCTTACGCGGGTTAGTACTCGCTCTTCCCCATCACGGGACACCTCCTTCGCCCACTTCGCCGCGGATGCCTCGGCTACCTTCAAAGGCTTAGCAAGCAGGCTCCCATGCCCGAGCGCCAACTCTATCCCATGCTCGATCCAAAATGAGGGCGAGGCGTACAGCGTCACCCTTACAATCGCACACTCACGTCCATCATCAAACCCAGACTTGATCTAGACAAAGAAGTCCGTGCCCATCAACATGCCCCACCATGAAGAGAGGTACTCCCCCGCTCTGACCCGCCTGGGTAAGGACACCTCGAGCCCTCCCTCTTTCTCAGTTGGCCCGAGCATACGCGGTTCTTCCCGTGCATAAGGCATCCTGAGTTGCCTTTGCTTTGTCTGGGTTCTGCCCATCACAGACAAACGTCCAGCACGCGCCTTCCGTTATTAAACTGACAATCCTTACCCCTCTTGAAAGGGCGATCCAAACGTACAGACTTAGTGGCCAATCATGAGCCAAATGCTGGACTGGAGATATTCATATAAATTTTTACAGACTGATAAGATCCCAAATATAACCTCAATAAAATAATCCACGCGGAATACTCCTGACGAGGGTATCTACTTAAGCCCATAATTCCACATAATTAGGCGTAAACTGGGCTTACGAGGTCTGACACCCATAGATGAGTCCAATGTACGATTCAAAATAACATCCTCAAAACAAATTGTCTCGAGAATTTTAGCTTCCTAAGTGGATGGTCCCAACCTAGAAAGGGCTCAAAACAATGGTGTACCACAAATACCACGACATACCTTCCACTATCACCTCATTTGTCTCTAGGAACTGTTACTTAGCCTTACCCTCACTCTAAAGCAACCGTACCACATCGCCGTCATGAATAGTCTAACGGCTCTTGCGGCCATAATAGGCATCTCACAAGGTCACACCCGTGATAAACGTGCTTAGCCTCATCGCTACTGCTTCACCTTTTCCTAACCGTACCAAGCAGGTAAGGCATCGTCCGATCCCATATCAAAATGGTAATCAAGCTCCATAAGTACATAGTCAGCGCGCTTATCATTCTTCTGCCACTCATATTCCCCCAAACACATCGCCTCGCTCAACGATCTTGTCATATGGGCAAGAAGAAAATATAAAAACACTTTATTTGACAATCTGGTTCACAGAATACTCACCGCACTCCCTTACATAACCTTTACATGGCCCAAGTCAACCACTACCACGCGTCTCACTTCTAGACTCTAGGCTCACCTAACACGAGTTCATTCCTCCCTTTTTCGCAATCTCATCGCACCATCCGTCTAACTGATCCTTCCGCTAAATCGAAGGTAAGAATTCAGGATGTTCGTAAACTCTACTTAAACAATCGAACATACATCCCGCAATCTATCTCACAAAAATCTCAAAACTTCTCATATATGCCTGATTTTCTCTCAATCTACCCGGGTGTCATTCCACCAGGGACAACGGTAGGCAGTCGTTATCCCCGGCAACGGCGCCACCTGTCGGGCGCATCGGTCCGGCACCGCACGCGGCAGCGCGGGACCCTCTCGGTCGCGTCACACAGGAGTTGGACCAACCTCGTCACGGACACACAAATGGAGCTTGCTTAGGCCGCTCCGACCGAGTGCGCCAGCCATACCTCTCGCGAGCCCCTACGACAGGATAGGGCCTACGCGAGGCACATCTTACCTCCACCTTACAAGAGCTGTCACCTCCCTTCGGTGGGCGTATCCCCACCGTGCTACCAGTCCACAGTACGAAAACAACTCGGTTGCAATCGCAAAGGTGGACCAGCCGACGGCGTTTCTCGTTCGATGTAGCATAGGGGGTGTGCGCGGTAATATGCCCATCGGACCCGCACGCAACCGACATCTTGGGGGGCTGAAGTCCCAAGCGCGGCTCGTCGTCGGTCCACTAGGACGCATCCCACACACCACGCGCACACCACTCTTATGAACAAAAAAACAAAACACACACGAAACGACAAAACACAAACAACGCGACAACGCTCCTAGCTCCTCGATAGCCGTCCCATAACTTTCCGACGCGGAAATCGGATAGGCGTCGCGCGCGAGGCTTAGTATAAAACCGCGCGGACGCAGGGCTAACTAATATTGACTCGCAATGCAAACGTACGCAAGCAGTCGCAATGATGGCGTACTATGTCGTACCCATACTCGCGCGGCCCTCGTTAATCTCGAGGGTCGCGTTCGACACTCAAGTGTTGGCTGACACACGCCTTGAGGGTTAATCTCTCGACGCCGGACAACCGCCATGCGCGGTTCAAGACCACACACCCTCTTCTCCACCTTATGCAGAGCGGGTGGTACACAGGTCCACACCTGTGGTAGCAGTCGCTTCTTGCGGCCCTGGGTAAGTCCTACGACGGGCCTGGGCAATAGTCAAGGGGTTTAATTTTGACGGCTGCCACGGACTACAACGTCCAACTATAAAAATATCAAAAAAACAAAGGATCACAAGGGGTCTCTCTTTTCTCTCAAGCCATAATCTAGCTAACCCCTGCGCACGATCTCAGTAAGCCGCGCGCATACCGAAGGCACACATAAGTATATATATACAAGGCTTATTTATATGGGACGATCACTTCTCACAGTCACAGTGGGACTCCTCTCAGCCATATATGTGTGTTATCGCAGGCAGTCACATCCAGAGTCTGAACCACAACCATACCTGCAATCACATCAAAGATTCAACCAGAAGTCCATGCACTACACGGGGTCAACTTCAACCATTCCTCACACTCATACTCCTGGCTTTAGCCATACAAGCCTCACTCGTGCAACTCTTAAATAAATACTCAGTACTTTTGTTGGATGGTCATTCAATAAAGTCCGGGTAAAAACACAACGAAACAATTCAAATCTCAAGGCTAAAGCCTTTAGGTTGAGTGGCAGGGGTGAATTGGAGTTGAATCGTAAACCAACGAATCGGCAACCGACCTGTTATCAGTGATAACAGAATATGATCCTCGCAGGATCGAGCTGAATCTACCCCAGATCCTGAATCAAACGGTCCAGAGGACCTGTAACACATGACAGACCAATCCCCAAGCCAAACTGATAAGTGTATGGAGAACACAACTCCATAACACATTCTCACCCAAGATCCTTCTAATTGACTAAACCTGAATCTACCTTTAGGCAGTGTCCAAAGCAAAGGTAAACCCTGGCATAATATTTCCTATACAGGGTGGATCGTCAGAATCGCCACCTGTCAAAATATCTTATCTAACTCCTTTAAACTAAGAAAATTTCGGCATCGCTTCCCTTAGGAAAAGTGTCTTCTCATAATTCATATCAGCCCGAATAGGAAACCAAAAATAGTCTTTGACTCCCCAAAGCCTAATTTTGTCTAACTCCCTGAATTAGCAAAAATTTGGGCAGCACTCCCTTTAGAAAATGAGACTTTCTAGATTTTTACTAAGTCGTATATAAACTTTAGACAAGTTGAACTTTGACAAGTCAAAATTTAACTAACTCCTTGGATTTGCAGAAATTTCGGCAGCGCTTCCCCTAGAGAAAGTAGCTTACCAAAATTTATACAAAGCCAAGTATAACAAAAGATCCGAGAAAATGCGAGAATCGATCTAAGTAAAAAAAACTTAGCCCATAAAATGCAGGAACTGGACTAACTCCTATCGCTCTAGCACGTGGCGATCAACTACAGTAACTACCTGTCAAAATGAAACTCACACCAAGTAGTAGCCTCACTCAGTCTCATGCAGGCCAAACCACAAAAGGTAAGTACTCTCACCATCCACAAGCCAACTTTGCAAACAACAGTTCGTAATCTCTCGATGCTTTATTCCCTTATACCCAACTTACATAGGGCATAAAGTCAAGTCGTCCAATCTTATGGAACCTGCCTGACTCAGCCATTGAGTACACACGAAYAGGTTGCACAACTACTTCTCTCTTCCTTTTGGGCATATAACTAAGCCGTTCATCTTAGAACAAGGCTCAACCGCCCCGAACTGTTTAATATCCAAATTATATATACCTCTCTGAGCTTGGTGTTCAAAAGTCGGGCATAGGACTGAGCCGTTCATCTTAGAACAAGGCCTAGCCTGCCCAGGG